ATTTTATGCCATTACTTTGTTTACATATACGAACCAGGGAGCCATAAGACAGTTTGGGGGGAAAAGGGTTGAATTTTTATGGTGATTTGGAAGCTTGAAAACTAGGTTCAGGTCTCCTCTATAATCTTAAGTGACTAATATTACATCCCTAAGAGAGGCTCATAAACATGGACTTTCTTTCCAGATGCAGAGATGAGCTATTTTCAGGATACACTGGGTGTCTAAGAAATTGAAACAATAAAAGCTCTCAACTGAGGCAGTCAGAAGTAAGCAAAAGCAGAGAGTTGAAAAGTTGATATACCATATTTAAAACATTTTATTTTGATCCTAGTCACATAAATAAAAGTTAAATCCTTCCCTAACCTTTGCTATTGGGTCATGATTGAAGTCTGTGTTGCCTTTCTTGGTTGAACCACTCCTAGATTTCCTGCTTCCATTTCTTAAAAGCACTTGTACCTTAAAGGCACTTGTGAAAAAATTTGAGTGCAAAATATTTCTAGAATTTTTTTACTATAGTTTTCCAGTCTTTCCTAGCTGTCTATTCCACACCTAGGTAGTAACAGCTTGTTTGTTGATGTTGTTTTTTTTTTTTTTTTTAGCTTTATAGTCTTTTTTGTGATTGAGATAAAATTCACTATCTAATCATTTTAAATGGTACAATTCAGTGACTTTTAGCACATTCACGATATTGTAAAACCATCACCACTATCTACTTCTAATTCTAGAACATAGCCATCACTCCAAAAAGAAACCCTGTACCCATTATCAGTCACTATCAATTCCCTCCACCACACTACCTGGCAACCACTAATCTACTTTTTGCCTCTATGGATTTGCCTGTTGTGGATATTTCATATAAATGGAATCATACAACATGTGGTCTTTTGTGTCTGGCTTCTTTCACTTAACATAATGTTTTCATGATTCATCCACGTTGTATCATGTGCTGATATTGTTTTTTAAAACGGCTTACTTTTATGGGCCTATATGGCAATCAACTTAGTTTTCATAGAAATAGCATTTTTTGTTTAGTGTTCACATTACATCAGTTTATGTAATATTTAATTAAATTGCAATATTACAATAGCAAGTGCTACTGGAATAAATAGGCCTATGACCCAACACCACTGTAAGTGTGCACCTGAGCTGATAAAAGCAAAGTACACCAGCTTATTATGAGGATAGCTATTTGCCACAGTGGTCTCTGTGCTCTGAGCAACAACCAGTACATGTTTCAGAGGGAAAGGAGAGCACTGGTTAACCCAAGGCGTTGATTTAGTGTTGGTCAGTACTCCATTACCCAGGATGGAGAGGGAAGCATGCAGAGGGTGTACAGGTGATATGTGTCTGTTATACAACCAACACAGCCTCAACTGACCCCCAAAAGGAAGTCTTCTCTATGTCTTCAAAAAGAAGCAAGGATGTGCTCCCATAAAGATAGGCATACCCTTCTGCCTCTATAAAACTTCACCATCCTACCCATCTTTCAAGGAGCAAAAAGTCTCCCCCAAGCCTTGACTCCTCACAGTGGCTGTATGCTCTCTCTCCTTCATTTTAATTTCCAAAGTACTTATCTATCTCTTAAGGTGCTTATAATCGGTATATACAAAGTCTTTTCTTCCATACCAGGCTATACACTGCTTTAGAAGCAGGTTCTGTGTCTTTATATCCCCTACTGCCACCAGCACAGGAATAGAGGTGCTCAAAATACAATCTTTATACAAATCTTTAATAAAAAATAGAAGTTCAGGAAGTATTTAATAAGTAAATAATGAATGAGCACATTAATTAAATAATTAATGGTGTGTAACTTCCCACCTGGCCACAGCTCAACCCATTCATCAATGCACAGCGAAAGAAGGAAGGATGAGTATCTGATGGGGCAGAGTGGTGGGCAAATGAAGAAAATCAACTACTCTGGGTGCCTGGCAGCCATCAGAAATTGTGCCTCTCCTCCAAGTGTTTAACAGAGACCACTTTCAAACAGGACACCCTTAGATAATGACACTGCCTGATGTCCTTTGATGTGGGAAAAATTAAAAACAGAGACAGAGAGAAAATGTTTGTACTCAAAATCTCCCAACATCTTCGAGTGTGGATTTGGTTTTCCTCAATTAAATTATTACACCACTTTAATGGGTGAGCTTTTAGATATACTAGAATGGTATTCATAAGAAAATAGCTTCCAAATTGGCAATTTTTAAAAGCAAAGCAATTGGTTAAGTAAGGAATGCATAAACAACCCCAAAAGCTGCACTGAATACTTTTTTTTGGCTGTATACGACTGAAAAACTGCCAAGTTCATTTTGATAAGCCTTTGTTAAAAACAATAAACATGCCTGAGCTTGCAAACCATGCCGTTTTGAAGAAAAAGCAATTGAGAGAATTAGAAAATGCTCAAAACTGAAATGTCTGATTAAAAAGAAAATCTTCCGTGGTAACGGATTTACAATTAGTCACAACACTGTGCTGTCTATGAATATGGACGAGAGTGGGGGACAAAATGTAAAGTGAGACAAAATAAAAGCAGAACACCTTCTTCCTAAATAAAGAAGCTACATCCTACAAACTAATACAATTACAGTCTGCAACACTAACACGGGGGCACTAGCACTATCAAGGAAACGAATCATCCCATGCTTCATTAAGTTTAATGTCACCACGATGATGTTCCTGCACTACAGGATATGAAATTTCAGGGACTCTGAATGAACATACATAAGATAACCAAATGTGGGAACTGCTATTCACGTCCAGTAGAATGTCAGCTCATAAAAGTCAACGTAACTTCATCTGAATTTGCCTGTTTCCGGTGATTATAAAATCAGCAGAATCATGGGATTGGAAGGAAGATAGTTTGGAACATTTATTCCATTTCCCTGCTTTAGGCAAAACTGAAATTCTCTTCTATCTGCCAAACAAAATCCTAGAAAAATTCTAATGAATGAATGGTCACTTGCGCTCTATAGGAAAAAGTTCTTTGTTTTGTTCACTGACATATGCCAAATGCCCAGAACAGCACCAGGCACATAACAGGCACTCGATAAATAGCTGTTAAATTAAACTGAAAACCATGGAAAAACATGCAATGCAATGGTAAAATAAAAATAAATAAAATAGGTCAGTTTAAAATTCCTTTCTCAGCTCTGTTAAAGGTCATGGTGTCAATCACAGTAAACAATTTGCCATCATATAAGCCACTTTCCTCAAGGCAGCTCCACAGTCACAAACCACACCAGTAACTCGAACCAATCATCCCCACAGGGGGCTGAGAATCAGAAGAGACTGCAAGGAGAGATGCGGGTAAATTTAGTCCCATCTGTTTTGGTTACTTTTCTTCCTCTAGAAGTTTACCTGGGATGTATCTGCATATTCATTTTCATTTAAGAAGAATATAAAATACTATTTAAAATTAAGGGTTTGTATTTTTTTTTATTGTGCTACAAAGGCAATTTGAGTAAATCAACCTCTCTCACCTATTTCAGAATCCCACCAGTTTAAAAAAAAAAGATAAATAAAAAATATGATCAGAAAAATCATATGATTAAGTGAGTCTATTCATACCATTTTTGTTCAAAATGCCTGGAGGTAATATGCCTGGAAAACTGACTTAAGTGGGAAGGAGAAGGCCTGCATTCTGGTGTCTGTTCCATCACCGGTTAATAGTCCGAGCTTAGCCAATCCTTGCCAACTGGAATCTGAGCTTCCTGCCCTGTAAGGTGAAGGGTTTGAATAGACGGTCTCTAAAACCCTTTTCAATTTCCAACATCCTGTGATTACAAGCGACCAAATCCAGTCACTTAATTACTACTCCTTATTTCCACCCTTTGTTTCTCCAACAGACATATGTTGGGCACCTTGGGAAGGTCAGACACCATTAGCCTAGTTTGGCATGACATTTTAGTGGGGAAGGGGGGAGACAAGCCATGCAGGGACAGTTGATGACTTCAAAAGCTAATGGTCTCGGATACCTGTGGAGATACTGCCTTTCTGAATTTGGCAGACCTGAAAATTTCCTCCCAGGTTAAGCTGGCTGCGCCACTGCAGTGCCCAGCTCCCAGTAAAGAAACAGGTAGGATGAGCTGGTTAGAGTCCTTTCAAAACGGAAGAGTTTAACCCGCGTCCTGGCAGGTCCTTTCTGACTCAACAGTAAAAAAATAAAATAAAATAAAGAAAGTTTTTCTTTAAGAGGTTCAGAATGCTCAGTTGTGAAAACAGAAGGCTAACCAAATAGCCCCAGGACTTAACTGGAATCTTTTTGCTGCGAACACTTTTCTCTGAGTCCGCACTACAGGTGTCGCTACCCTACTTAGAGGGCAAGACGCAACTGAGAAATTAAGTTCAATCAACGGAAGGTTTTCAAGGCTGGTGTGTTTTTAGTACACCACACACGAGAAATAAATATTATTACCTGAGGCAGAGGGGCAAATTAAAAAAAAAGATACACTGAAAATGGAGAATCGAGAAGAAAGGCGGTCTCTTGCACCGAGAAGTCTGCATTTGAAAACCACAAGAAATGAAGATCAAAGCCGCTCCTCTCCAGCCACCTGCTCAGAAACTGCGTGAGCGCCAACCCAACACTGACAGGGCAGGCGGGCACGTGGTTCTCTCCTAAGCCAACAGGGGCTCCGAGAGACCCGGGTTAGGGTCACGGGCTCACGGCGCGTAGCAGGGCGCTGGGCAGCGGGCAGCGAATGGAGCGTCCTCCGCCAGCTCCACCAAGCCCAGCCCTGGCGCCCCGCCGCCCGGCGGCGAACGATGCCTGGGTCACCTAAGCCATCGCGCCCTCGGCACAGCCGAGCTCGGGAGCGGGAAGAGGGCGAAGCCAACGGGGCTCCCTGGCCCGCGCGCTGGCGATCTGGGCGCGAGAGCCGCCCGCGGGAGACCGCGCCCGGACAGCCCAGCCCAGCTCCGCAGCCCGCCCAGAGCCCGCAGACACCCACCTCCTCCGCCCGACCCCTGCCACGCCCGTCCCCAGCCCGGCCCCGCAGCGTCCTCACCTCGCGTGGACCGCTGCAGCCTGGGCGGTGGCGCGCGTACATGCCCCGGGGCGCACCCACCGTGCCGCGTCCCTGCTCGGTGGCCCCTTCCCGGGCCCCAGGCGCCGCGGTCCCCGCTTCCTAGGGGCGGGGAGCGCACGGGGCGGAGACGCCGGCCAGGCTGGGGCCGGGTGCCCAGCGGGCAGCCCCAGAGGAGTAGCGTCGCGGGAAAACCCCCAGTGCCCGGGCCCCGAAATGCACTGGCAAGTTCAGCACCCCCAGCTCCGCCGTGGACTCGCTGCCGGCGAGCGAAGGGGATTTATCACTTGGATCCGCTCTACGTGCTGCGGCTTGGCCAGGGGTGAGGGGCGCAGGGAAGGAGGGACGCGTCGCGGTTATGTAATGGATCGGCCCGCTGTGTCCCGAGCCAGCTCGTTCCAGGACTGCCCGACCCTCCCCCGGAACAGCCGTGCGTACTTCTGACCTGGGCAAGCAGAGGGGCCCGGTGTTCTCAAAAAGAACTTTTCCCTGCAGGGTCAAAGAGCAGGATCTGGAGAAGGAATGCAAGGACTCCCGTAGGGGTATCTGGCAGGGATCTGCCAGCCAGCCCTTCTCATTTCACAGCGCAGAAACTGAGGCCCTGAAGTGTTAGTTAAAAGCGTTGTCCCTTAGAGTTAGATGGACTTGGATTCAACTCTCCCGAAAAGCTGGTGACCTTGGGCAAGTTACTTAAGTCTCTGAGCCTCAGTTTCTTCACCTGTAAAATGAGAATAATAATAGTGTCCACTTCATGTAGTTTGCTGAGAGGATAAAATGAATGAGGTGCGGGCGTCCGGTACACAATACGCCCCCAGTAAACGTTACTGCTGTTGATTGTGCTAAGTTTCCCCCAACTCCTCAAATGTTCCTTGAAGTTTGCTGCCTCACTTGCCTGGAGAAGGAGCTGCCGGAAGCTGCCGAGGGGTACCCACGTAAGGCAGGATGAAGGCTAACCTTCCTGTAAATTACTCTCCCTGTCAGAAGCAAGTTCTCCAAACTGACAAGGTCTGATCCCAGCTTGGAGTTTACATCTCTGCCACTCAACAGCATCGTCACCATCTGGGAGCTTGCTAGAAATTCGAAATCTCAGGCCCAACCCCAGAGCCTCTAAATCATAATTTGCATTTTAACAAGAATCCATAAGTGATTTAGTAGGTTGTACATCAAAGTTTCAAAATGAGTTGGACATTTTGGAAAATTTGAGAAGGGGACTAGAAAGTTACTGAGCAGGGGCCGCACAATACCTTAGGGTATTTTTAAAATAGACTAGTAAAGTCTTTCCTCGTTTTACCCTCTGGCTATTTTGTGTCTCCCTCTCCCTCGGTTTCCTGCTCTTGAACTATAAATCTGGATTTAAGTCCTATTTTCACTTGCAAAAAACTTTGGGTTATATCTAAGTAATGATTAGTGAATCTATATCTAAAACACATAAGAATTAGCAAATACAGCTTGTAAAAGAATTCATTAGCATTGAAAATTGGCTTATAACTGTAGAGGCATCGGTGAGCCCTGAGCCCTCATCCGTGAAGGTCTTTAGGTTAAAGGCTTGAATGCTTTTGCGTTTCAGAAAAATACTTCTCTTGGTTAAACATTATTTTGGGTGGCAAATAAGCCCATTCTCCATTTAAATAACATAGGACAGCCAGTTCTTTGAAAATGTTTTGGAGAATAGAAAGAAACCTCACAGGCTTCCTTCCATCTCAGTCACCACGTATAGGGGCTCTGGCAAAGCTCAAAGCAAATATTTTGTTTACTTCACTGCGTAATGTGTGTTTGGGTTTTGTGTTTGCTTGTTTGTTTGTTTTTGATTCTTAGAGTGTTCAGATTTAGTTTGCCTGATTCTGTCTCTGGCAGAATGATTTTCGTCTTTTGAGAGTTGAGTAACTGTGGATTGTTGATGCTGATGGTGGGGGCTACTGCTGATAGGCAGTGCCTGATGTAGAAAGGTCACTTCCATCTCCCTACCCCTATGGGGCTCCCCGCTCAAGGCTGTTGAACAAGTCAAGCCATAAGGGTGGGCAGTGTGGAGGTGGATTAGGGCAAGATGGAAAGAGGAAAGGAGTCTCCTTTCCCTGAGGTTAGAGGGTTGGAGGAGCTGAGGGGAAAAGGAAAAAGCCTTTCTGCTCGCTCTGGAATCCAACCAGGAGGAAAGAAAAAATGCAGTATTTCTTCTAAATAGCACTATCCAATAGAACTTTCTGCAATGGTGGAAATGTTCTATATTTGCTCAGTCCAATACAGCTATGCAATGTGGCTATTTACATTTAAATTCAATTAATTTGTGTTATCGTTTTTTAGTCTGTTGCATTAACCACATTTCAAGTGCTCCATACCAACTTGTAGCTAGTAGGTTCATCACAGAAAGTTTTATTGGACAGCAGTGCTTAAAGGCCAGGATTTTGGTGAGGAGGTAATCCCAGGTATTCTAGCTTTTCCAATTGTAGTCAGAACCTCATCTGTCCTAAGGTGGGTGGAGGAATGATAAATTAAACCTAGGTCACTGAGTCCTTGTGAGAATCAAAATGAGATAATCCATAGAATGTGTTGAATGCAATGCCTTGCACATAGTAAATGAACAAAAAAATCTAAATATTAATAGTCATTTTACACTTAAAAGCTGAGGGGACATGGTACTACACTTGCATCGTTATTAGTTAAATCACCGTATACTGATGTGCTCAACTGCTCTGGTACCTCTACTACCATTTATAGCTGTACTCCAGCCCCCTCCCCTCTCCCCTTCCTGCCCATTCAGAGCTGGGCACCACCTGTACTATTCTGGCCTGGAGACACAGTGTATACTTGGTCAAATCCCTACCGTTTGTATCCAATCGATATCAAGTGTGTTAACTAAAACCATATAGCACCATGCTTCAGGGGAATCAATTTTCAGATGAGATTCTCAGAAGCTTGCCACCTTAGGTACATCCATTATGGAAGGAATTGTTTGTTCCTGTTATTTGGTCAAACAAGGATGTGTGGACTCAGCAGAGAGAAACGAGAACATTGGCTCCAGATAAGTAATATTCGGGGTGTCCACATCAGACTGGAAGCTACCGGAATGTTGAGAGTGGGGATGGAAACTTGAGGTTTTTGCCTAAACAGAATTTGAAAGTTTATTTTCATAACTAATAAAGATTCTAATGATAACTACAAACAACATAAAAAAGACCCAAGTATTTTATGCCATCTGTTATGCAAATTAGGGCAATACATGGAATGGGAAATAGTGAAATCCTTCCCTGCACGCCAAGAAACATAGATTTCTGAATAACCTGCTCAGACTCCTGTTCTTCTGACTTCTTTAACGAGATCACATCCTGTGGGCACCTTGCACATCCCACTTTCTTTATTGTCTTCCTTGGTTCCATTTTCATCACTCCACTTCTTAGGAACATTTTCTTAGAATTCAGCCCCTGTTTCTCTGCTTTCCTTTCTTAACCCTTATCCTGATCCCCTCTTGTTGTGACTGTGGCTAACAGCTGGCTGTCGGAGGCCATGTGTTCCCAGTTCCACCCTCTCTCTGAACTTGTCTGTTCTGGTCGCCAGACCTCCAGTGGATGTTGTCTCTTAATTTCTCCCCACTCCTCACCTTTAATGTCAACCTTCAAGAGCTAAAGTTATCATTACAATCTGCTCTTAGCTCCTGCAAAACTTTCTAGCTTCTCCTCTCTGACATCACTGCCTTGGTCTCTGGTGCTAAAATTCTCTCATTTTCTATGACTTGAAGCCATGGAATCATTTTAACCCATTTTTCTTCTTCATGGAGTCATGGTATAATTGAAAGATATCGAATTTGGAATTAGAAGACCAAAGTAAAAATCCCATTTTTGTCACTTCTTAGCAGTATGGACTTAGGAAGTTTCTTAACCCACCTAAACCTCAAGTTTCTCATCTATAAAATTAGGTCAATAGTACCATTCAAAAAATATGGCTTGAGCAGCTACTTATCCCAGCCTCTGTGCTAATTAGGTTAAACTCTCACTCTCTACTCTAATGACGTTTTGGACCTGATAATTCTTTGTTATGGGGCTGCCCTGTGCATTGTAGGATGTTTAGCAGCATCCCTGATCTTTACCCATTAGATACCAGTAGTAACCCTCCTAGTCATGACAATCACAATTGTCTTCAGACGTTGCCAAATATCCCCTGAGCCGGGGCAAAATCACCCCCTGTTGAGAACCACTGGGTTAGAGAAATTCTGGGAGGAGAAGTAATGCCTTCGTTTCTGGTTCTTTGAGGACTACATGAGATAAAGAATATGAAAGCGGCTGGCAATGTGCCTCACCAGAATTTGCAGAACGTGGATGTCCCCTCATTCATGAAGCTCTGTCAAGTTGAGGTGTTCTCTGAAGATCACAGTTGAAAAACATTTTTAGAAAAAAATTAATTCAGATTGTATTGTTCTGAATTATTATTTTACCTAGCCAATGTTGTTTTTAATTTAAGCAACAATATAACAAATTTCTTATATTACATTTTCTTAATAATTTTGTTCTCTCCTTCTCTATCCTCACTGCTCTCCAGCCATATTTTCTCATGCATGGATCATTAGAATTACTACACTTCCATTAGTCCAGTACTCCCTTACTCCTGCCCATCTATCCAACTAACCTTCCTGATACTGATTGTGCCCCACGTTCTTTCTACTGGAAACTCTGGTAGTTCCTGTTTCCCCTATTTACTTTCATTGAGATGGAACTCCTCTGCTGGTTGGCCAAAGTTCTCTTCCATGCAGCCTTCCTATCCACCCTTCATTATCATGTTCCCCAACACTAACTGTCACGCTCTATCATAGTCTCCTAGTTGTTCTATGATGTCATCATGCGCATGCCTGCCACAGTTCTTGCACACACACTCTTTCCCATACTCTTCCTCTTCCTCTCTTTCTGCCTTCGTAGACTTGATAACATCCTTCAAAGCCCAACTCAAATCCCGACCTCTACTAATGTTTGTAACTTCCTTTGGAAGGCATCAAAAAAGTAACATGGGTTAATGGTTGGATGGAGGGATGGAGAGATAGTTAGGTGATATAAAGCAATTTAGTAAAATGTTAATCTAGAATCTAGGAAGCAGTATATGGGTTCACCATATAATTTTTTCAACTTTTTTCTATGTTTGAAAATTGTCATAATACAATAAAAATAAATGAGGTAAAATAAAAAATAAAACAAACATGTCAAAGCCTTCCTACCCAACTCTAGCCCATAGTGGTTAAGAATCCAGGCTTTGCTATCAGGCTGATCTGAGTTGAAGGCCAGGTTCACCTCTTGCTAGCTGGGTGACCTTGGGCAAGTTACATAACAACTCAAAACTTCAGTTTCTTCATTTATAAAATGAGCATAATAATGACAGCTTTCCTATAGGACTATTGTGAAGGTTAAATGAGACATATACTTGTGAAGAGCCTGGCATGGTAGCTGACACATAATTAAGTAC